GAAATGGCCCACCTTGATTATCATACACATTGTAAGGAGAGTGATCACTTTAGATAAGCTATTACCAGCAGGAGAGTGGGGTGGGGGGAGAGAAAACCTTTTGTAGTGGTAAACACCCATGTTTTCATGGTTTCTGTGTATAAAAAGATCTTCTGTACTTTCCACAGTATGCATCCGATGAAGTGAGCTGTAGCTCACGAAAGCTTATGCTCAAATAAATTGGTTAGTCTCTAAGGTGCCACAAGTACTCCTTTTCTTTTTATTTAAATATTGCTGCAACATAATTTTTTAAACTATTGAATGGCAGATCTTACCACCCATATTTCAACGTACCTTCAGAATACTGACATGAGCAAATCCTGTAACCCTTACTGTAGCAAAATTCCATTTGAGTAAAACTCCCTGGGGAAAGATTTGAAAGTTAAGGAAACTGTTGCTCTTGATAAGAACAGATACTTCCCCTCTGCCCCACTCTGTTTCGTCAAGTGCCACACTCTTAGCTTTCAAAAATGTCATACTACCACTTTAGCATTGCAAAGAGACAAACAAACAAACTTTCCAAAATGGTGATTGCAGAGTGAAAGTTATCTTATGCTGCCCCTAGAAAATACTGCTAGAAAGACTCTTTACTAATAGAGAACAAAGGTATTATTATATAAGCAATTTTTATATAAACAGGATTTCCCACTATAATCAAACAGATCTTTCATATTCTTCTTGTGAATATGTTCTTACTAATATGGCACAATTACTGTGACAATGCTTTAAGATGCAGATAGACTCATTTAATTAGCATTTGGAAAGTAATAAAAGTGATTGCATCTGACCCTTTCAGTTCAGAAAGGCATAACCCCCTCCACAATAGGACTGCAAATAGCTACCCACTAACTGCTTTCCTTATCAAAGCCTAATTATAGAGATTTAAGTACCTGCCTTCTCAAATACAAACATATTAATTTTGCTGCAATATTACTGTCAATCTCAACACAGCTGTGATATACAACAACCCAGTTTGCTCTACCAATGATGCCAAGAACGAAGCTTTAAAAAGACACTGAAAATTATATTCAATTGCAGTTTTTACAGTTGTTGTCAAGGTAACTTCCAACATTCAGTTGTCCAATTAAGGGCTCCTCCCAAGCTCATTGAAGTCAATGGGAGTCCCCTATTTCAGAAGCTCCCTTTTCTACCCACCAGCAACTGTACTGAGAGTCCAGCTCCTCTTTCCCATTCTTTTCAAATGACTCAAGATGATATTTTCATGCTTTCCTCCTTTTATGGATACTCTTTTGCTGAATTCTATCATGTGGCCCTCTGTTTCTTAGCTACGTCTTACCTGCATCTGTTGGAAAGTCTACAGAGATGCCCAAAGTACTTTTTAAAACCAATTTCTTTTCTTTTCTTTCTTTTCACCCCATAGTTTAGAGAAGCTTGACAAACTATTCCATTTGCCTCGTACTTATTATATGTTCACATAGCAAATTTTTTTCCTTTGTGTTTCTTATGACAAAGTGAACATGCCTCCTTTTCATGTATTACCCCTAGTTTTGCTTCTGCATCCCTGATGATACAATCAATGATGTAATGCATCCAAGAATAGGCTTTTACAAAGCTCTGCTCTCTCACCTATCTCTCTGACTAGCTCTTTAGTGCTAGAGTGCAAGCCATTAAAGCAATCACAACGCTAACATAAGACCAAATGCTGGCATCTGTACAGCTCAAGTACTTGGGCTGTGTTCAAATCTTCTTCACTGGCACAGGAGAGGAGAAGAAGGACTTGTTCATCATCCCATCACTCTGTGGCTACTACTGGATTAGTCTCAAGGGTGGAACTTGCCAGAATACTGTGCCTATGAGAATCTACTGTCCCCATCCTGTCCTACCCCTAAATCTGTCCTGTATAGTAGGCTGTTGGGAGCATAGCTCTGAAGTGTGCAGAGGATCCAGACCCCCTGCACAGGCTCCTCCAATCCTGCCATATACACACACTTCTGCTTTGCATACCGGTATAGAGAAAGGCCAGTGGTCTCAGTTAGTGGATAATTTTGCTCACAGTGGACAAAGCTGCTGCTTAATGATCCAGCTATGTCTGGGAGTAGAAGTAAGCCTTTCTCTCTGTGTATGGAAGCACAATACTTACCAGGTCTGCAGTTGCACAGAGAGGGGCTCAAGGGATCACATGTTGAAATATGTTGAAGGTGGGAGTGGCCAACTCCCCCATGATCCTATTGCAGCCAATGCACTCTCTCTGTAATGGAAACTAACCAAAATTACCTATATAACAAAGAGATCTCAGCCCAGTGTTGCCATCTCTCACAATGTGATTGAGAAGTCTGTAATTGTTAGTGTTTTTCTTGAAGCCTCAGCTACTGGAATCTTGCATGACAATCTCAACATGCATTTTTTTAAAAGTCATTTCCTAGTACTTGTGCTGCAGAAAAAAAAATAAAAAGTGTGAATGCTGATAAACAAGCAAAGGCAAATAAAAAGAATCTAACAGGTATTTTTTTAAAAAAAATCTCCTGATTTTTAACACAATCTTTTTTTCTTGAATATGAATTTTGAACATATGAGATTTGCAACACTGCGAGCCTCAACACTGAGCAACACATACAGAAAGGTTCAGCTACAGAAGGGATCCTATATGATTCTTTCCTTTCTCATCTATCGAAGAAATAGACAGCAAATAATATTTATACACATGTAACCCTTCTGCCTGTCAGAGTTAGCAGCAACAAGGGCCCGGTTCAATATCTAGGAGATCCATTCCAATAACACAATGCAAACCGGCTCAAGCCCCCACCCAGTGACCTGGGACAAATATATACCACCCCCGCTGGGCGCCTCCAAGAGGCAATACTTCCCCTCTCGCAAGCACATAGTCTGAGTGTAGCAAAAAGTCTTTTAATAACAGAGAGAAACAATGTGGCATTATGTTGAGGAAACACCACCAACAGGATTCATAACACAACCCATGAGCAAAACCCACCCCAAGCAAATTTGGGGCATGCCCTTTCCCTTTGGTTCTTGAGTCCAGCAACCCCAAATCACCCAAAGTCCCAAAAGTCCAATGACCCAAAAGTCTTTGTCCCTGGTCAGGGCAGCCCCAGAGTTCGAAAGTTTATCTGCAGAGCTTTACCTCCCAACCTGGGTGGAGATGGGGGGGGGGGGCGGGGAAGAGAGGTAAGGGGCACCTTACATGATCTGAAGCTGACCGCCCCACAGCTCCATAGGCCTTTGCTCCGCTCCGCTCCACCAGCCGCCCCACAAACTGCTTTGTTTGGCTCCGCTCTGCTCTGCGGCCCACAAGCAGCCCCCGCCGTCCCACAAACTGCTCCACTCCGCATCCCACAAGCAGCTCCCGCCGTCCCACAAACTGCTTCGCTCTGCGTCCCACAAGCAGCTCCCGCCATCCTATGAACTGCTCCACCAGCCTGTCCACAAGGCACTCCAGCCATCCCAGAAACTGTTCCACAATATATCTTCAGGCTCCCCCACTACTTAACACAACACTCAGTGATTTCAGCTCTTAGGTGAATTCAGCTTGTAGTAGGGGAGCCTCAGTGTTAGTACACCATTAGCCCAAAGTGAGCTCAGTAGCTGTAACTAGACTCCTAATGGAATCAAAATTAGCTCTGACATTCCACAGTGGAGAGAGGAGGAAGTGCAATTAGCATGTAATGCCCTCACCAAAGGGCCCATGCCACCAAGTATTAATACTTGTCCCCAGCCTCTCTCAATTCACACAGTTTTGGAACCCATGACCCTTGCCTAGCGAGTGCTACTTAGTTGATGGTGAGTCCTTCCATCATAACAAAAGGCCCAGTACAGTTCCAAGCACAGTTCCCATAATCAGGGTAATAACAATTTATTCTTCCTGCCCCAATAACAGAGACACTGGGGATCCCACAGCAGCCAAAGTGACCATTTGAGCAGCTATGGCCTCATTCTAGGCAGGGTGGGTGTGCCTATGCAAATGCGATCGGCCCCTGAAGTTCTTTTCCACAACTTGCCACACCTCACCACCAGATGCCAGGGTGGAGCTCATTCTGACACTGCTTACACACAATATTTCAGATTAAGTACAACAGCAGAAATTATTCATTAAAATTTACTGGCATATGTAGCACATGTAAACTCACAGTTAAATTACCTTTATAGTTTACTGTCTGATCCCCTGAATTGCCCTGAGGAAAGCTGTGCTGATAGGGACAAAGAAAATGTACAGTGCATAATATATGGGCTGACAAAGTCACTGATTCAGGAAAGCATTTAAGCACATTCTTAAACCCCTCCCTATTCAAGACAGCACTGAAGCATGCTTAAATTTTAAATTTAAAGCACATGCTTCAGTGCTGTCCTGAATGGTGAAGCTGTCCTAAGTCAGAGACTGAATTATTATAATAAATGCCATTAAAATAAGATAAATGATCATGTAGGAAGTGACAAGATGGTGAGATATCTTTTTTTTTTTTTTTGGACCAGCTTCTGTTGGCGAGAGAGACAAGCTTCCGAGTTTACACAGAGATCTTCTCCAGGTCACTGCTTACATGTAAGAAGTCTAAGTCAATAATAATATTCAGGACCATAATAACAACAGGCTACATTCTGCCACCCTTACTCATACTGAATAGTCCCAGGTTCTAAGCCTCCAGAGCTAAATATTGTCACTGAGGTAGTCAGGGCCTTAGCTATGTGAGCCATCTCAAAGGTGCCATGTTGTGGATAAAGTACTACACCATATAGAATATATGCCACCAGTGAAATGAATGCAAAAGAATGAGGAGCTGTGTGGGAGAAGGTAGCCATGCAGACCTAAATGTATCTTAACATAGATTATTTGAGGGCTATGTAAACAATATTGCAAAAGAGTATTGCACGACTGTGTTGGGTGGGCTCTATTTTAATCCTGAGAGATGAAGGAATTATAAATGGAAACATAACGTGATCATCTTAGCCATATTGTGCACTATTTCTTATTTAATACAGTCATCACTCACATTCCAATGGATTGTTCACCACTTGAAGTAGCCTCTTCAGTCTTCCACCAACAGAAATTCACCAAGTGAATACCATGCCCTGTTTCATAAGAAATATAGCGCTTTAAGGAGAGCCAAATAGTTCTGGTAGGTTCTTAAATGGGAGTCAGCAAAATTAAAAGCTGAAGGCCTGATTATGAGAACAGAGCCTTGAACATGAGAATGGAATCATGCTGAAAGTGCTGTAGTCTAGCTAGATGTACAGTGCTTACAATACAGTTAGCTTGTCCAAAAGGAAATGCTATATGTTAAGTCAAGTTGGTTGCAAAATTTCCATCAGAACAATGAAAAACTGAAAAAAAAAATTTTTTGGTGAAAATCTACCTTTTTTGTGTGTGTGTCTCTATTTCTGACAATTCAACTTAAGGGACACGTCAGTTACTTGAGAGAAGTTTCTTGCACAGTTCATTCCTTTCACCTCCATGAACTACATGGAAGCTGTGTTCTTTCTGTCATTGTGAGGAGAGCTATTCAGTACAATATTCATAAACAAATGGATATGCTACATTAAAAACCAAATCCTTCTTTCAGAGCTACCCAGGCTGCCCCACTGGATTCAATGGAGCTGCACAGCTGTCGCTGAATACAGAATTTGGCTCACAGTGTTTTCCATGATACAAGGAGCTAAACTGATGTACATCAGCTGAGGATCTGGCCCATGGCTTGAAATCAATGTTTACTGTATTCACTTGTAGAGAACCCAAAAAGAGCCATCTTTGCTTCTGAGAAAGTTGCTGCCAGTATAAGGAGTGGCCTTTACAAGTAAAGAATTTGCTTAAGAAGAACACTTTGTACTTAATATGGCCTGAAAACAAATAATGACTGTATGAGTACTTAACTGCACCATAAGCACACCAAATATGCCCATGAATTTCATAGGCTCAGTAAAGGGAACCAGTATGTCCTACTGCACAGGCAAATCAGAGACCCGGGACTTCCATATGAAAGGAGACTATAAAAGGCTACATGAATCAAGAGCCTGTCAGCATGGGATCAGGTAGCTGGTTTGCTCCCCACCCTCCTTCCCCCTCGCCTCTATTTCCCCAAAGCTGTTCTAAGTGCAATTCAGATGCAGTCCAGGATCAGGTTTAAATTACAGAGCAGAAAACTTTGCATATAAAACAAATTGCTACAGTGAATGTGACTATGTGAATAAAATTCCAGATGGAAAAAAGTACAAAATTTGTCAGCCATGTCAGTATGTGTGCTTTTGTGCATCCTACTGTTACATGAGCAACTTCACTACCTAGAGGAACTGGGTAAACTCTGGCACCTATTGGTAGCTGAAATAGAAGCTTAACATTACAGTACTCTGATCATGAGATTAAAAATGCCACATGCTCCAAGTTAACATATTCAAACTCCAACATTTGTACATTACAGCATCGTAATGCAAGAGACAGTACAGCTCACCATTGTATCTACTCACATGGCAAAATGTAGCCCCTCCACTATGTACATTCCTGAACCTCATATAGCTCCATGAGATGTTTTACCCCTTCAGCTATATTAAAACAAGATTTAAAAAAAGACTTATGTAAAGAAAACACTTGTGGTGCCTCCAAGCCAAGCCCTGAGCAAGAGATGCTGCATAAATAGTTCAGTAAACCTGAGACACATTGTGACTTAGAGATGCCCCTCTGAGTCATGTATCCTTGTGCCCCTACTTGTTCCGGTGGAGATGGCCAACACCCTCTTAAGGCACAGCTATGGTGGACAGTGCAATATAAAGGTGGAGCCAAGGATCTGCTCATTTCCCACCCACTCCCTGCCCTCCTGGTAGGAGTCATGATCACACAGTGCCCACATACTCCTGCTCACCCAGACCCAAGCTCAGGCTGGCTTGTGTAAAGGAGGGTCTTGCTCCCCTGGCCAGGCATGTAGTCCAAGGCAGTCTGGCCAAGATTTAATACTGTAATGTCCATATATTGCAGATTATATGGTGGGGGCAAGGCTATAGAGTGGCATTTTAACATATAAAAAAATCCATTGATTTCAATTGAGCTCTTCTGGATTTAGTCTGACAAGAGACAAAATTTGGCCCTGAATTTCCTAGGATGGCTGGGTGGAAAGAATATTTACATTTTACATTTTTTAAAAGAACATTTTAAAATGGATTTTAACCCTGTTAAATTAAGATTATCAGCACAAAGCTGCTTACTGTTTCTTCAGATACAATACAAGATGCAGTGTTCTGTCAGCATAGTGACACTACCTTGTCATGGGCTAACAGGTGTGATTTCCCCTCCCCAGCTTCCGTACACCCTGTTAGATAGATAGTCTATACATCTCTTATGCTGAGTATTTATCTGTGTTCTACAGGTTCTGAAATTAACAGTATTATAGAGCAATAGTAGTTATTCAATTGTTAAGGTAGTAAGTATCTTCCATTATAAGCCCGATTCTAATTCTAGGAACATTGAACAATTCTATATGAAATTTCTCATGCATGGTGTTCTGCAAGAAGAATTTTTTTTCCTTGAAAGTTGAAGGGTAATTGGACATGGCATTTGTGAGATTTGAGAGTGTGTAAAATCAGTGGTAATTTGCTTTTTTAACATTATCTTAATGTGTTTTATAACAGCATATCCCCAAAACAGCGTGGTGTAGAAATTCCAAATGTGTTTTTTTTCTAGTGTCCTTGTGAGGAGTGTGGAGTTTATGAGCTTTACAAAAGCAGACAGAACTACCAGGGCTAGTCTATATACCACTCTTAAAAGGTCCCCAGGAGCAGGTTTGAGTCAGAGCTGCTGCTTAGCAGGTTCTCTGCAAGAGTGGGACTTCAAAAAAAGCTTCCTGACTGAGATATCTTAAAAATGGAACTAGGAATAAATGAAAATGTTACTTTAGTAGACTTAGTTTTCTTGTATTACAAAATAAGGGAAATGCCCATACAAAAATAATTAAGATGAAAATGATTTAAATTGCTTTCTATTAATTTAAGACAATTCTGTTGGAATATTTTACAAGGGACAAAATATTTGACAACCAGGAAATTACAATAAAGTACAAGCAGATTTGAAAAAAAAAACAGTGTAAACGATACTGCAAAGACACATATTGACCTAGACCAATGTCTCTCAACTGGTGGGTCGCAGTCCTGGTCATGAAAGTCAGTCGGATGGGTCACAAGGCACTGGAAAGTCTGTTACAGTCTAAAGCAGTGGTTTTCAACCAGGGGTCTGCTGATCCTGGGGGTCCATGAGCCCTTTCCAGGGGTCTGCGGGGCCCTGCAGCTGAAACCCAGAGCGATCCCAGGCCCCTACCCACCCCCCAGCCCCAGCGCTCCCCGTGGGGCTGAAGCTGGGAGGCGTGTGGCTGAATCCCAGAGCCTCGAGCCTTGGTGCTCCCTGTGGGGCAGAAGCCCTGAGTCCATGGGCAGAGTTCGGGGGCCTGGCAGTCATTGACCCTCAAACTGCAGCGCAAGAGCACCGCAGTCCTGGGGGCAACTCCACACCCCTCATCTCTTCCTCCCAGCCCCCTGGCCAGGTCAGAGGTGGGAAGCCAGAGCTAGGCAGTGCAGGGCAGCTGCTGCTCTGGCTGGGGCCATGGAGCAGATGGCGGCAGCTTTCCCTCCTCTCCAGCTGGTGCCCCGGTTTGAAGCTGCTCCTCAGCTCCCAGCCCCCTTTGCTCCTGCAGAGGCAGCCAGTAAGAGCCGCCCAGGTGGGGAGACCTGGCTCCGTGGCTGGCAGACCCCTCCAGGAACAGGGACCACGGGGAGCCCCCCCACCATACAGCCCCTAACAGCCCTCTCCCTACACCCTGAGGCTATGCCCTCCCTTCACCCTAGGTTTCTTGCCTGTACATGGCCCCTAGCTGCCCCCTCCCTGCAACCTGAGCGACCCCCCTTCCTGCACACAGCCCCAGCTACCCCCTCCCTGCCCTGAGCTACCCCCTGCCCACACACAGACCCTAGCCACCCCTCTCTTTGCACCCCGAGCTACCCGCTGCCCGCACACATCCCCTAACTAACCCCCCTCCCTGTACCCTAAGCTGTTTTCAAACTTTTTGAGCTAAACCTCCCACCTTTGAGTTATAATTTTTGGTTGTGATCCCCTCCCCCAATCCAGACAGGCTGGGTGGCCTGCTAAAGTAAGTCAGGGCCAAGGGTGGAGGTGGCACTCCCTCCCTGGACCTGGCCATGCTGAGGTGGCTTGAGTCCCACTGGCTTCTCCCCCCACCCCCAATAGAAGTCAAATTATACCTATTCCCAAGGCTGCTGCCCTGAAGCTCCCCAACCCTGCTGGACCCTGGAGTTTTTATAGCATGTCGAGGGGGGGCTTCAGAGAGAAAAAGGTTGAAAAGCCCTGGTCTAAAGCAAAGGAAATCTCGCTCTCCCACTCCTTGCACACCTTCATTTCTAAAAGAGACACCCCGAACAACAAACAGAAGTAGACTTTTGCTACAAGGGAGAATAAGCACAGAGAGGAATTTTAGAAGGCCATGATTCAGCAAACCATCCCTATTTAGCAAAGCACTTTTCCATGGCCTTAACTTATACAACACGTTTAAGCCCTGTTGACATTAAGCTTATACTTAAGGTTCAGCACATACTTATGCTTTGCTGAGTTGGAGCCTAGGGGAATGTCTGCACTAGAAACTTAAGTCACCACCACAGTAATTACTGTGGTGGTGCGTATCCACACTAATCTACTTGGGTTGGTGGTGCGTGTCCTCACCAGGAGCTCTTCTATCAACCTACGAGGGTCAGTGTGAGGAGCTGAGAACCCCGTCTCTCAGCTCCTCTGGCAGCTCCCTGTCAGGACCCTGGCTGCACCACAAGCTCCTGGGCTCCTAGTGGGCTGTCCCCCCCCTCCCCCCTTTGCTACCCATTCCTTGCTGCGAGTCAGGGAAGCCACCTGGGGCTGCTTGCTTCCCCATTCTCTTCCGGGAGCAGGGAGGAAGCCACCTGGAGTTTCTTGCCTCCCTATTCCCTGCCAGGAGTGGGGGGGGAGTTGCCTAGGGCTTCTCACTCCCGGGGAGCAAGGTCCAGCTGCCACAGCTTCTCAGGCCCCACACCACTCGCTCCCCATCAACAGCCGCCATCAATTGACAAGACGGTCAACATTCCCAGCAAGGAATGGGTGGGGAAGCCACCCAGGCTTCTTGCCCTCACTCCTATCCAGGAACGGGAGGCCAGCTACCCAGGCTTCTTTCCCCAGCTCCCAGCAAGCAGCGCGGTCCAGCCACCCAGCTCTCCAGGGGAGTTGGAGGTAGCTGGGCTCTAACTGCCTGGTTTTCTTGTCAATTTCATAGCTCCTGCACTGTAAGTAAGGCAGTGTCTACACAGACATTGCATCACCCTAACTACACTGACATGAGCCCTACACCTCTCATGAAGGTGGTGTTATGTTGGTGTAGTTGGAGCACTTACATTGGTGGGAGCAAGGCTGTAGTGTAGATGCTGACATAATTAGGTCAACGTAAGATGCCTTACCTCAACCTAACTGTGTAGCATAGACCAGGCCTAAGAGAGGAGGAGAAAGCAAGAAGAGAAAGATGAGAGGAGACCAAGAGTAAGAAAAGGAAGATTGAGAAGCCAAAAATATTTTCCTCACTCTGAAGCAATACATTTTCCTGGAAATACGGTAATGATCTAACTTAATTGATGCTCCCCTTACAATGAAAATTTATGCTTAAATGATTTAGCAACAACAGAGTATGATGAATAAATTATACATGAAGATTAAGTAAGTCAGCATTAGAGCATCAGTTGCAACTCATCTTTACAACATTAACTGAAGGATACTTCAACGAGTGAGCAACTGTCTTCTAATAGTTGACAGAGCTAGCTGCAAAAAAACATATTGCTAATGTATGAATATAGATTTGTCACAGATAATTTAATAGTTCACTCTCCTATTTAAAGTTCATTGTAACTAGAGCATTCTGAGATTTTTATTTATTTATTTATTTTTGTGTGTGTCATAGAAGACTTCTTTCAAAGATACTTTTTTAAGCTCATGTTTTAGGGGTAAGATACGTGCCCTGACATCTAAATAGGTTCATTCAAATGTGGAGAGATTTTGCATACCCTGTCTTCCTTCTCACTGATGAATGATTCCACCATTTTTTGAAGTCACTCCTACAATTTCAGAATCCAAATGCAGTTATAGCTCTTTGATTGCCCTGCATGGATCATTGCATTACCCAGTACTGATTGGCTGACTGGGTAATATTATTTCTGGAGTTAAACTAATTTAGTGCTCAGGACAATCTTTGTATTGACAGCTCTAGAAAGTACACCAATATTCACATCCTCAAGTAGCTGTTATTGATTAAAAGGGGCTCCACAGATGTAGTGATAGGAAGTATTCAGGGATTCCAACCCCAAACTCTATATTCTTTTCTTAATCTGGTACAATTTATTTCTACACTCAGAAATCTAATGCTTTTGTTCATGGGTGGTAACAAAATTTATGAGTTGGGAAAACATTGAGAAGTCTCCACTTGAACAAACTGAAACTTGCTAGGTAAGGGATAAAAGTGATTCCAGTTCAAGAATTGTATGAGTAAGGCTAAAGGACACAAACACATTGAGGCAAATTCATACTTCATGACAGCCCACCAAAATCAATAGGCATAAACCAGGAGCAACATGGCTCATTATGTATACTAATACAGACTATTCCTTGTGCACCCAAATCCCACTGAACAACAGTGGTTTGGAATGTGTAAATACTGCAAAATCAAGCCTCTATCTTCTGTGTTTATGACAGCAAAAGAATGATAGAAGCAAAGTGATTTCACTGACCTGAAAGAGGTAGTAGCAACAAGCAACAAGATGCTCCAGGGAGGACAGGATGGTCTCAGAAGTCAGTGGAAGCTGAAGTCTGTGGAATTATCCCAGGGTAAAATTAGTGTGAGAGCAGAATTGGTAACCAAGTTTCTTGTAGCCTGGAAGAACCTTCTACAAACAAATCAACTCCTATTTACAACTGTTTTTGTAGTTTTAATAAACCATTTAGTTGCTGCAGTTTAATCATTTAGCACCACATCAGCAAAATGTAAGCCTACTCAGTCATGGGCTGGTGACAACAACATTTGCAGTTAAGAGGATCTACTGAATGAAAGTGAGAGAAATGCCTAGAAAACAGCAGTTGTGTTTTTTTAAATACCTTCCTAAAACAATACAGCATACCTCTTCCACATTAACACTTATCTTTCTTCACACAATCCTAATTACCATCTCATATCAAAACGCTGACAAAGAAAACCCATTTCGTATCAATTTTTTATGATAGATCCCTTTAATGATTGCTATCCATGGTGCACAGCTTTTATTTGTTAAGCTGACACAGAAAATTAGCTCTGCTTTTCCCTTACAGTCCTCCCCTGCACAGGGACCAGATGGCATTGAAAATCAGACAAGAGAATAATAAAGTTAGCAGGAAAAACTGGGATTGTTTAAAATAACATATCATTTGAAAGATATAAAAAAATATTAAATCCCTTTCTTTTGCTCTTTGGCATGAGCAACCCAATACATTTTTATTTCAGTCTATTTTTTGTCTCTCCATTAAATTAAACTGAAGAAATGCAGGGCAAATGACTCTTCATTCAGGGAACTAATAAGCACAGTAAGTCATAAGCATTACATTGTATGAGCTATAGTTTTTCACATTTCTTGCACACCTGGGAGGCATTAAGCAATTTTTCCTCTGGAGGAGACATCTTTCCCCATCCAGAGGGGGAAATACTTTCCTTACACAGCAACTAAATAATGAATAATGAACCTCTTTAAAGTAACCACAAGTAGAGGGTGTTGTGTAACAGAAGTGCACCATGAAGATGTTGTGTAGTTAGAGACCCAAGCTCATTACTTCGATGTATAAGATAAAACCACCACTCAACACCTACTAAAAATCTGTTGGTTAAGTTATATCTCCTCCCCAACACATACACCCTCAGACAGTTGCAACAGAGGGAGGAGGTAGTGTGGATAGCCTTGTCCCCCTCATATTCCCTGCCAGTGCAGCCATATAGAGGGCACTCATAATCCAGGCACTCAGACATGTAAGGAAGGGTCTGGCTAATGCTGACTGGCTCTAGAGGTAGGTGTTTCTGACCAAGAGATGGACAGAGCCATGCCCCATCCACTTACACTCCTGAGGTCTGATCATTGACTCCAGTAGGTGCAGGACTGAGTCCCTGATTGGCTGTGCTAGAGAGAGCACTTGGTATAGTTTTTTAAACACGTAACAAGGTCCAATGTGCACCATGCTCCCCTCAACCATAGTACCCAGAAGGCTTTATGCCTTTCTAAGCCTGAAAAATTTAGGGTATTCACCCTTCCCACTCCTAACCTGGCTCAGCCTTATAGGAAGAAAAAGTGAGCCCTATATATCTTGCATGGAGTCGGGGAAGAGGAAATATGCTAAGTAGAGAATAAAGGATATCTGATATACTGTTCCTGTCTCTTGTGTCAAGGCCCTTTTTCTGAACCACCAACTGATGCCTCAGGGGAATTATTATAAATTATATTCATGGGGAGCAGAGGGAGAGAAAGACACTAAACTTGTCTTTCTTGCTTTTAAAGGTTATTTTTAATTTTCCATTAAATCTCCTTAATGAGAAGGCTGTTGTTACCCTAGACATACCTGGCTAAGTAAAATAGGAGACAGATTCAAGCCAGAGCACCTGATGGATAAGCAAATATTAGTATGTGGCGGTGAACCCTCAGCAGCAACTTTAAACAATGCTTGCTTGCTTGTTTTTTAGGGGGCAACAAGAATAACTTCTCCAAATGAAAGTGCAGGGAGAAATTCCAGGTACACCGAACAGAATCACCCACATTTGAATTTATTTTTTCGTATATTACAGATTTTCAAAATGCAAACATATAGGCATAAAGCATTACGACATGACAAAACAATTGGTACGCATCAACACTGATAGTCCTTGGTGCTGAGTACTTCCTCCTCCTCCTTCCCTCCCTGAGGCACTGTTGGCTCCCAGGAAACTAGAAATCAGGGTTAAAGTAAAAGGGAGTGTTGGGGAGAAGGACTACCCCTTCTCTTCTTGGCTTCTGGCTTGCGGAGCAGCATTCCCCTCTTCCCTTTGGCTGGTGCAGTGAGAGCTCTCCTTCCTGTTTCAATCTACTTTAAGCGCTGGTAGAGATGGAACAGTCCTTGAACTCCCCAGAGCACAGGGGGCTGAAATTCTACTTGTCCTTTACACAGGGCACGTAACGGGAGAGGATTCTTTACATCCTGTCTACCTTCTCTCCCCCACTGCACACACATACAAAATGTTCAGGCAGAATATGGATCTTACAATTAAAAGGTCTTTATTCATTTTTATGAAGCACAGTCTCTAGAGATTAGTGTTAGAGACAATCTTCTGTCATTGACAATGGCCTTAGCAACACAGAAATCATAGTTCAAGGTAGACAGCACAGCTCCTTCACTGCTCATCAGTTGTTGTGAGATAATAAGGACAAAACTTCTTATTCACGGGTGACACATTCCTCCGGCACTGTACCCTCTGTTGGCACCACATGATCAAAATCATAGAGTGACTTGTGGGTATGTGGAAGAAAATGGGAAAAAGAGCCAAGCAAATACTTCATAGTGAATAATTTCATAATACTTAAGCTCTTTTTCAGTTTTCAAAGTGCCCACAAGTAGCTTGCTATTTTCTCAAATGTATGAATTATCTGAAACTATTCACCAAGTAATTTGTGTCAATAATTTGATTTTTAGATCACTGTTGAGTGTTTGGTATTTGAGATGCACTGGATATTTTTTACTGGACACAAAGTTTTGTTCCCTGATTAGCTGAGCATGAGTCAGATTTCTGGTGCAAATACTTTCAGTTACAAATTCAGAATTTACTTTCTCAAATATTTGGCGAAAATTTGCTATTTTAGCCAGAAACATATTCCTACTAGTAACCTATTAACTAGAATATTTGCAGAATTGGAATTCAAATGAATACAACCAAAGCCACTTCCGTTTGTTTATTCAGATTTATTATTAATTATTATTATTTTATTTTGTTACGTATATACTGAGTTCTACTGGAAAATCATTCTAGGAAGCAGAGATAATGCTATAGCGGACTGTCCTTTACTAAGTGTTGAGCTGTTATTAAGTTCCCTCTTAATCCAGTTTCTCCTATTTGGCCTGTCATGTATGTGGAAGAGAAGTTTTGATTTTTGTTTCCTTTCTCTCTGAAGAGCTCAGATATAGTCAGTAACCTTATCTGTGAAAACCTGTGGCCGTGTAGAGGTCGACTTCACCCTGTTTTGGAAAGGCAAGTAAAAAGTCCTTGAAACGCTGATTTTAAAAGTGTAATCTGGCCTTTTTAGTAGGAAATGTGGGAGTCCTTTTTTAGTGTCTCTATTAAGCTGTCCTCCAAATAAACAGCAGGAATAGCAACACAACTTCGAAGTACTTTGGCATATGTCACATTTTCTTTCTCCAGCAGCTAATTCATCAGGAATGATCAAAACCAACATTAATGCAGTCTATTAGCTGTGTGGTCTTCCCCAAAATGGCTCATGATGATAACTGGACTTTCCATAAGAGCCTACTGAGATATCTTAGTGCATATCTGCATGTATTGTTTCTCAAAGCCATTACTCTTCTGCAACATGCTAAACTCATTGATGACTCATTTGTACTGCTCATAGAACCATTCAAGCATTTTCAGGGTTGAATTCCTCCAGCTGTTGCTACTAAGTTTGACCATAAAGAGGGAACTGCTCACGCATGGCCACTCTTTCTGTAATTGTGATGCTTGCAACATCTCATTTTCCCTCAACATCAGCTGTAATGAGAACTCACTGTTTATTTTGCTAGAGATGCCAAATTCACTATGCTGTTGTGTATAGATTCCTAAGACTGACTGAAGGGTTGTTAGTAATGGAGGTAGGTCAGGGATCACAGAAGGTGAGCAGAACTAGCAAGGGGGAGGGATGCTGCTGCTGCCACTGCCACGTTACCCCTTTACACAGGCCCTATTGTTTAGTTGCTTTTCATATTTATATTGGACATCTTCTAGGTGTTGGGAATTTACTCCCTCTTCCTTCATTACTTTTTCTCTGTTTCTCCACTTCCCCGTATCATTTCATCATGTTTGATCCTCTACCATAGTAACTTGCCTGTATGTTTTCACTGCATCAGCATCTTCAGCCATCCTTTCCCCCCAAACACAACCCTTAACATTTTTCCATTTCCTTTTTTATTCACAGGCAACATTCTAACAACTTTCTGGACAGTCTAAAATCTAGATATGCAACAGAAGCTGGTTTTGCATATTTTTAAACAAATTTCTGAATTTGTTTTCTTTAGTTCAGGATGCCGGTGAAAATTCCACCCACGCAGAGATGGGCAAACTACGGCCCGCAGGCCACATCTGGCCTGCCGGACCCTACTGCCGGCCCCTGAGCTCCTGGCCTGGGAGGCTAGCTCCCGGCCCCTCTCCTGCTATTCCCCCTCCCCGGCAGCCTCAGCTCACGGCACCGCTGGTGCAATGCTCTGGGTGGCGGAGCGGCGAGCCGCAGCCTGACCCGGTGCTCTGTGCTGTGCCGTGGCGTGGCTGGCTCCAGCCGGGTGGCACGGCTGCCTGCCCTGGTGCTCTGGGCAACGCGGCTGTAGCGCTGCCAGCCACTGGTGCTCCAAGTGGCGCGGTAAGGGGGCAGGGGGCCTTGGATAGAGGGCAGGGAAGTTTGGGGGGCTGGACAGGGGGCTGGGGTGTGGATAGGGGGAGGGGTGGTCAGGGTCGGGGAACAAGGGGGTTTAATGGGGGCAGAGGTCCCGGAGGGGCAGTCAGGAAAGAGAGAGGGGTGGATGGGGCAGCGGGGGGCAGTCAGGGGCAGGGGTTCCGG